CATCCGGGCATCAGATAGTTTTCTGAAGAACGTTTTATACCTCCGAATGGATTTTGTTGTCAAGTATGTGTTTATGGTTATTTATATAATTAATTTCCTGAAAAGTCTTGAATTAATTTGTCAGTGGGTGCTTAAATATCAGACAGAAATTTTGACGGAGATAATTGTCAGTTTGGGATTAAAAACGATAAATGATTTTATATAGTCAAAATATTTTTGAGATAATGATCGCCTCCTTCTATTGAGAATTTGTCGCCAGTTAAAATGCTGTTAACTTTAGATTTGATGAGTTTTAATACACATCATGCTTTCGGTCGGTTACGTGGCCATGTTGGTTAGCAGTTATTCTCTCTGAACTCTCGTTCGATCTCATTTATGGGGTGTTTGCGTTTTTGGGGTTTTTTTTTGTTTTTTGTTTTATGTTTTTTTACATTTTTTTGGTATGGATTAATACAATGCAATTTTAAGAGAATGAGAAAACTCTATTAAGGTGAAAGGACAATAAAAGAACGGAGTTCAAGAAGATTCATGTTGCATTTAATTTTCCGAAGATTGTAGGTGACAAGAGATTGGAAAAGAGTTCCGTAGGTGAGACATGCGAGAAAAGAAATTCTTAGAATACAAATTAGGGTTACGTGTCGCTATTTCAACAACGAAAAGATGAGACCTAGCAGCCAATCTAGTAGTAGGCTTCAACTCCCGAAGTCGCGGTAACAATGAGGAGAAGTCATGAGAACAAATTCTATGAAAATGTTTAGAAAAGACAGAGGGAAGCCATGTCATGCCAGTGAGAAAGTGCCTGAAGGCGAGATGCCAGGTCAGGACCGATCACATTGCAGACAATTTTCCGGATTTTGCCGAGAATCTCGAGATATCCGGCGAGATAGCCGGCGCGTATGGCGGTAATATCCAATGTATGTACGAATTGTAGGTTTATAATTGTGCAAGATAGATTTTGACAAGAGAAATGTGTCTGCTACGACACAATTAACCAACCTTTTTAAAGTGGTTATGATGGATGAGGTAAGATATGAATAAAAGAGGAGTTGGTAGTATGTGAAAGTTGTGGACAGATAACGATTAACTTGATTTGATGAGGTTAAGAATGGAAGGGCCAGGGAAGTATCCGCGTGAGAGAGGCTTTCACAAAGTGGCTGTTCTTGAAAGAAAAGATGTCTGAATGGAAATTTCTCCTCATATTTGGAACACGGGGGAAATGTCGGCGATTCGACGCTGTAGAGGTAGCATGACATGTTCTAGCTTTAAAGATCTGAACTGGTGAGACAAAGGACTGGCGCTCGTCAGAGCATTTTCCACGGAAATAGCGATAGGCTTCTGACATTACGCCTGTGAAATTGCTGCTGCATTGTGGGAACTAAGAATTTTGTAGTTTAACATCATCCCTAACACCCTTTATATATGTAGGTCGCATGCTAATGTATGAGTCTTTGTAATTCCAGTCCTCTCAGGGTGTTGTAAGTCCATTTTTTTCTTCTGTATGTCTCTTCTTTTGCCTAAGGTCGTTCCTCGTAGGATGACATTGGAAATATTGTTGGCACATATAACGTGTGCTTACCATTTCAACTTTAGCTTCTTGACAGTGGATATGAAGTCTTTTAATGAGCCTGCTTTGTGTGTAATGTTATCTAGCACTGCATCATTTGTGATGCATTTTACATGGTCTGTAGGTTGGTACTGCAGCATCTTCGATTCTTCGCTGTAACTCAGGTGTTAATACACAAGATTCGCGGGTACACATAAAGATTAAGATGGTCAATGCACGTAACAATCTGATCATTGATCTTAGGCAGATGTTCTTTTATTTCCACATGACTCTTTGCTTACCTTGTCTGCACTGCACTTGAAATTATTTCTATTCGGGATCTCTCTTCAATGATAATCGAACCAAGATATTTGAATTGGATCATTGATTTAGTTTCCCGACCACCAATATTTATCTTGTTTGAAAGCCCTTTCTAATTGTTCGTCGTGTTGTTTTTTGGCATTAATCTCTATGCCATGTCTAGAGGATGTTTAATCCAAGTTTTTCGTCCGACTGACAACTGAATATTGGAATTCAATCTTCCTTAAAAGGCGTTTCTTTATGATGCAAAATTAATCAACAAACTTTCATGTTAATTGTTCGTATCAGCTATTCGGTATTTTATTTAATTTCTTGTAAAGAGATTGTTTCATATTGTAAATAGAAATTGGGGTTTAGATTTTTAAATTGCTGTTTTATTCCCTCTTTACACCCACAGTCAAGAATGGGAACTATTTGGGGCTACATAGAGACTTTGAGGTATTATGATGGCTGTAGTAAGAATGGTAAGGAAGAATGCGTTGCTTTGCTGTAAGTAATAATCTGGTATGTTTAGGTCAGTAAATGTAGCTAAGCTTAATAACACTGGTCAACAACAAAAAAAAAGAATTTGAAATGGGGTCGAGACACCAAACATCATTTTTAGCTAATTTGTACCTTGTGCCACATCTAAGCTACGCTTGGAATCTCTCTCTTTCTTTTTCTTCTTCTCTCTCTCTCTCTCTCTCTCTCTCTCTCTCTCTGTATATATATATATATATATATATATATATATATATATATATATATATACAGGGTAGCAAAAGTATTTAACACATTGGTTTTTCTTACATATCTCAAAAAATAACAGATCAATTTCAACGAAACTTATCGGAAATATTTAAACGAACATTGTCGATCAAAACATAGAAGGAAAATTTAAAACCACTGTTTTGAGAAACATTTATTAACAATAAATTAAATAACCGATATGCAAAAGTATTTAACACACTTTACTAATATTTAGTACAGTAGCCTCTGTTCTGCTTCACAGCCTCCAGTCATTTCCCGTAGTCTTCAACTAGTTTCTTGCAGGTACTTGTTGGTATTTTGACCCATTCTTCTTCACAAATTTTCTTCAATTTGTTTAAATTCGATGGATTTCTTTTATGAACTCGTAACTTCAATAGTTTCCACAAATTTTCGATTGGATTTAAATCCGGTGATTGACTTGGCCATTCCAGGACATTAATGTCATTATTATTAAACCAATTCTTAGTTATTTTAGCAGTATGTTTCGGGTCATTGTCTTGCTGAAATACAAAATCACGACCATGTCCCAAAGATGTGGCACTATTCAAGAGTTGAGTTGACAAAATTTGAGTGTCTTTTGCAGCATTCATTGTTCCTTCGATGATTTTCATTTTTCCTACTCCATTTGAAGAAAAAACAACCCCACATCCTAATATTTCCACCCCTATGTTTGACTGTAGGGATGGTATTTGCTGGCTCGTATTCCGCTCCTTTTTTCCTCCATACATGAGTGCGCATGTTTCGTCCGTAAAGCTCAATTTTTGTTTTGTCTGACCAAATTACTTTCTCCCAGAAATCATTAGATTCAATTTCATATTTTTTTACAAAATTCAAACGGGCTTGTACATGTTGGCGTTTCAGTAATGGAGTCTTTCTCGGTGATCTTGAAGTGAGACCTGCACGATTCAGTGATCTTTTAAATGTATCTTTACTAACTTCAGTTCCGGCATTTTTCAAATAATTCTGAATTTCTCGACGAGTTGAAAATGGATTTTCCTTCACAGTACGGGAAATGTATCGCTCATTAGCCTCATTTAAGATACGGGGACGACCACTCCGTTGAATGTTTTCAATAGTATCGAATTTTTTCCATTTTCGAACAACAGCACCAATTGTACTCACAAACAAATTCAAATCTTGAGCGATTTTTCTATATCCCTTACCATCTTTGTGATTCTTTATGATCTTCATACGCATGTCGTTCGACAATTCTTTTGTTTTCACCATTTTCTAGCAGTAGTGGCAACAGAATAGCTGCAGTGTCTCAGAGCTCTTATCTAATAGCCAGTTGAGTGTCGTGCAGTGCTGTCATTGGTCGACATATCACATCATATCAATATGGGTAGGAATCATGAGGACACGTCTCTTCTAGCATAATATTTGCATTGGTCTTAAATACTTTTGCATATGGGTTATTTTATTTATTGTTAATAAATGTTTCTCAAAACAGTGGTTTTAAATTTTCCTTCTATGTTTTGATCTACAATGTTCGTTTAAATATTTCCTATAAGTTTCGTTGAAATTGATCTGTTATTTTTTGAGATATGTAAGAAAAACCAATGTGTTAAATTTCTTTTGCTACCCACTGTATATATATATATATATATATATATATATATATATATATATGGAGAAACAAATATACAGAAATTATATAAATATCAGTGGATTTCCTCTTTCAAAGAAATCAAATAAACAAAAACAAGCTTATCAACTAAATATAACATTTAATGTAGTCCGCTGTGTCGTTCAAGACATTCTTCTTTTCCTGTCTTACATATTTATAAGTCTGCCATTCCTACATGCTTAGAATATTGCTGCCACATATGGTCTGGTGTTATGTTATTTTGGTGTAAGGAATACTCTGGTATGTTTATGTCAGTAATTGTGGCTAGCTAAGTTTAATTAGTTGAATGAAGATATTTTAATTGGATCACTGATTTAACATCCTGATCACCGACTTTTATCTTGTTTGAAAACCCTCTGTAATTGTTCGACAAGTGTTATTTTTTCAGCATTCATGTCTATGCCATATCTGGAAGATGCTTCATCCAAGTTCTTCGCCCGACTGACAACTGAATATTTGAATTGATTCTTCCTCAAAAGGCGCTAATTTTGATGCAAAATTAATTGAAATTGTTCTTCCTTTATTCAAATAAATTTACTTCATAAAATAACGTCTCTTAAGGAAAATACAACAAATTTTAAAACCAGGTCTCCTGAAGAGCAGATATGATTCCACAGAAATCAGAGTAGATATAAGATAAATGAAGAGTTAATTTTATTTGATATTATTAATGCTCTATATCTTTGTATCGAGCATTATAATTGCAAAAAACCGTCTTTTTTTCAGAAATACTCTGGTCGACGGCTTTTGGCGAAATACAATCTTTGTTATTGCTAGAAAGAAAGAAAGAAAGAAAGAAAAAGAGAGAAAGAAAGAAAAAGAAAGAAAGAAAGTACAAAAGAATGAGTCAAACCCAATGCTGAGCTGAGAGTGCATTTTTATTTAGAAGAAAATGATCATATGGTTTTAAAAATTTTATCAATTGATAAAAGATGTTTATCAATGTTGATAAATATGTTAACACATGAAGGCGAGCCTTGGCCCAATTTCAAGAGAATTCAAGATTCATTAAATAAATACACTGAAATCAGCTTCATTAGTTCGATCAGAAATTCAAAGCGTACAAATTTCCTTGCAGCAAACCTAGCTATTGATTCCGTGTTGATGGAAAACGTGAGACTATTGTGAGGTTAGTCTCAGCCACACTGGTGCTTCTCTATCCGATCGAAGGATTAAACTCATGATTACAAAATGGCAGTAACTCGCGTATAACCAACACCTATATCCACTACGCCACAGTCCCTAAGTTGTGTTTTGTTTTGTTTTTTTTTTAAGCTTTTTATATTTAATGTCACATTTGGTTATGTTGGCGAGTTTGAATCGCTTTTCATGATTTAATATTTCATTTCGGAGATGAGTAATTATTAATATTCTTGTATTATTTCGAAATATTGTTCTCATCTTCGCTGATATTAATGTTATTATAGACACAACGTTTCGACCAAGTACCAACTGTCCATCATCAGATGTTCATTTATTGGCTGATATAAATATGTGTTGTGCCTATAATAATATTTATACCAACTAAAATGAGAACTATAGTTCAAAATAGATTTCGTATTTCATTTCTGAGAACTATAGTTCAAAATAATACGAAAAAACAGAGGCATTATGAAAAACACGTTGCCAATATGCTTAAAACTTAAAGTGCATAATGACTGAAAAATGATAGATTTAAACGGCGCGACACCCGGCAAATAACGAAGACCGGATCGACTTACGACAGAAAAGAACATTAAAGAAAGTCCATGAAAAGGAAATAAAACGGCGTATAATATTTGGTTGGAAAGCATTTAATAAAAATAGAATCAGAATGAAAAAGAACCTTTCCAACATGCTTAAGTTTTATGATGATTAAATAATGCCAGTTATAAGGGATGATTAACATTGAAATATTTCATTTCTGAGATGAGTAATTGTCAAAATTCTTGTATTGTTTCGTATTATTGTTCTCATCTTCGCTGATATAGATGTTATTATAGGCAAAACGTATCGACCAAATACCATCTGGCCATTATCAGGTCTCCATTGATTGGCTGATATGGGATGTCAAAACCACCTGACATTGAATATAAAAGGCTAAAAAAAACACCATTAATAGACGGTGGCATAGTGGATATATGAATTGGTTACGCATGTGTTACTGTCATCTGGAGGTCATGAGTTCAATCCTTGGATTCAGTAGTGAAGCAAAAAACAGTAAAAACGACCCATAACTGATATCACAGAAACAAAATAAGACAAAAGTCAACAGATGTTCCACATGAATCAATCAATGGACACCTGATGATGACCAAAGGGCACTTGATCAGAACGTTGTGTCTATAATAACATCTATAATAATAATACCTATATCAACCAATATGAGAACAATAGTTCATAATAATATATAATATTAATAATAATAATGGATAAATAATCTTGCATAAAAAAATTCTATATAACTAAAAATATATCCGTAAAAATACAATGTGAAAAAACGACAATAAGGAAAACTTCTTTGCCAACGCGTTTCGTCCCATGAGGGACTTCATCAAGACGAATTTTATTTTATTTTGAAACAAGCGTTTAGAAAAAGAAGTAAAAATGTAGTTGGTTTACCAAATGTTTAAGTTTAACCCTTTCAGCCCTGCATACCTAAACAATTTTAACCCTCCTGCCTGAGTCAAAATTCGCAAATAATTGGTATGTAATTTTTCACAATAGATATAAAAATAGTTACAAGTGTTTACCCACCGTTCAACCGGTGACTGAACATTAAGTCATTTTCTTCTACCACCGTTCAACCGGTGGCTGAACATTACGCCATTTTTCTCTAGCACCGGTAAAGTGGTGGTTAGGGTTCAAAAGGTTAAGAACGATTCGAAATACAATTCAGGTGTCCACTGATTATCCATTGTCCATTGATATATAGAATTACAGCACTATTGTCCTCATCTTTGTCGCCATATTTATTACAACGTTTCGGCCGTTGTATGTTCCGGCCTTCTTCAAGGATACATTACACAGTGGATAAAAGTGTTGGTTAGATCCAGTGACAGGACCCAAAAGTGTATGAGTTCAATACCCGGTTAAGACAGTTGAGAACTTGGAGAGGGGAATTAACAGCAGATAACTGATAATTGACATCCATTAAACATGGCACGTGGAACTAGAACAGTCTATCCCAGTGAGCGAAATAAAGGGTTCAGTTCGACATTCCAACCACCTGAAGAAGGCCGGAGCGTACAACGGCCTAAACGTTATAATAAATATGGCGACAAAGATGAGCACAATAGTCTGAATAATGTAAATAGTATATATATATATATATATAGGAAATGTTTTAACTGGGGACTGACTTCTTAAGTTGTTTTTCTATTATCTTAATAGTATTTCCTTAATTGTACATTTTTCTCATTCTCTAACACTCAGTAACCCATTGCGTCTTAGTGGTTTTATTGCCTTACTTGGAGTAAAATGATTACAAAAAATATTCTGAACAAAAGGCCTAAGGTTCTCGTCAATTCCCTGAAGTTAAGCAACATTCAGCCTGGTCAGTACCTAGATGGGCGACCGCTTGAGAATATAAGCTGGAAGCTTGGAGTGTGAGTGGTGTAATGGACAATTATAGAAATGATAATCGGAGAGCCGTGTTCCAATTCCAGTCGCGCTTGTTATATTCACTTTACGAGCAGATACCGTTAGGGAAGGTTTGAATCCAGCTCTTCCCGCAAATATTATCATCTCCAAAAATATTGGGGGGGGGGCTTTAAATAACCTTCAAAAAGGTTGAATAGCCGTAAAAAAGAAATCGATCAATGAATCAATCTCTGAACAAAAGCAAAATCAGTTTTTAGGCAGGGGTTCAAATATTCAATGTTGTAGTGAATATGTTAGTGTTTGGCCAATGCATTAATTGTAGATAAGTTGCACACTCAATGAACTGACCACTAATAATGAATTGATTTGTCCTGTGTCCTAGTTACCAAGTGTTGTTATTAGATGTAGGCGTAAGATCTCCGTTAGCTGCAGCCGCGTTGGCCCTTTAGAAAATTGCAAATGGCTGCTATCGGAACAATATAACTTTCGTAAAATTATGGCGGTCCCAATACAATAATCACTTCCGTTAAAAAGGAAGTCTTCTCTCTTTATATCCAGTCAAGATGTGAATCGTCGAAGACCAAAGTACACAACGCTCTATATATGCCGTATATGGCAATGTTTGAATTTGATGTAAATAGTGGTTGAAGCGAAAAAAAAAAAAAAAAAAAAAGAAAAATGATAATTGTCTGCTAAAGTACACCTACGTGCGTAATATTGAACTAATTTCTATTCTTTGTGGAAATTTTCCTCTCCTATTAAAATAATTACTAATTGGAGATGTCATCATAAAGCAGGTTCAGAAGTTTCAATATCTGTGAAGTGTTTTAACAGGGTGGAAAATATGACGCCGAAATCTGAAGTGCCTGCATGTAAAACATTTCAAATAAAGATTTATATTTAAGTTTTTCTTTTGATATTTTCCAAATCGGGTATGATATAACCAATGTTTAGTGGTGGGGTAACTTTAATTGATGGTTAGTGTTCTATGGTTAAAACCTATTTTTAGATTTTCATAGTGTTTTGACCCCAGTTTGGAGTTTAACTATTTACTGATATCTAGGACCCTAACAGGTGCTACCACCCCGGATCAGGGTGGACCTGAGAACACCAGCAACTATGAGGTGGTTCCACGCTCCTCAAAATCTCCTGATCAGAGACATTGCTGTTTCATTTAGTTTATCGTCTTACCCAGGACGGTGAAATTTCTGGGAAACATGAAAGAGAATCATATCATAGGTAAAAAGGACAGGAAATGGCAGCGGGTCAACTACCTGATGAGCTTGTCTAAATTGTAGTATCTTATTTATTTAACAAAAGTATGTTTTTTCTTTATAAATTCATATATTAAATCCAGCATTTCAAAATAAATGAAAACTAACCGGAAACTGAGTTACCTTAAACAAACAATAACTGTCAATCGAAAAGCAGTCTGGGAAGTTTTTAAGAGAGAATAGAAAATGCGGCCCCGAAATCCAAATGCACATGATGTATTTAAAAATCTAAGCAACGTATTAGGTAACAGGAAAAATCTTTAAAAGCAAAGAAAAGAATGCTGAACTGTTATTTACTATCAATCATATTTCATGGCAGCAAGCGCTGGACAATGTCCCCACAGATGAAACGAAAACTGAAGGCAACAGAAGGATGGTGAGAATTACATGGATGTAGCGTGTAAGCAACGAAGAATTCTTTAAGAAAATGAAAACTAAAAGGACACATAATCAGAAACAGAAAGTGACAATTGAAATATATGGGAAACATAATGAGAAAGGAGGGCTTGGAGAATTTGTCACTCACACGGCATATTGAAGGGAAACTGAACAGAGGAGAAAGCGAGTCACGAACCTAATCAGGCTGAGTGAATAAATGGTGGATCGGGTTGCGTGAGGTTTGGTAAAGGGACAAACGTTGCCGAGGGTAAGAAGAATAAAACTCAACTAATATAGCTTCCTCCTATGCTTTGCGTATATACAAGTACAGATGTAAAGAGATGGGCACTAATTATTTAAGCATTCCATAGCTCACTCTAATTAGGAAGCAAGCTCCCATCACCAATAGAAAGAGCGAAAGTCTATTATTATTGTCATTAACATTTGTGGCAAGATACAATTTTTGTCGGATAATTTGTCTTGAATCAAATTCCAAAAAACTGTATTTTAACACTTGACGAGAAGCAATTAAGTCTTTCAATTGTGTAGACGTAACTTGAGTCATATCGAATAGGTTGAAAAGTTGCAAATACCGTTGAATGTTTTGTATCTTTTTTTTTTTTTAATGCCAAACGATTGTTG